GGAGGAGGAGGAGGAGGAGGAGGAGGAGGAGGAGGAGGAGGACGAGGAGGACGCGGGAGGAGGAGGAGGAGGAGGAGAGGCGATCATGCGATAGGGAGCATCGTACTCGATTGAGTAGGAGATGAGGAGAGGTCGGATGAGCGGGCATTTCCGAAGTACCTTCCGGATCCATGGAGGTTAAATGGGGGAGGAACATTTGGTATTTAATCCGTGCGAAGTCATGGAGGGGTAAATAGGAGGCCTAGGACCTACCCATCGTCATTTCTCCCAGGTCTGCCCGTGGCGCTGTGGCGTCTTGGTGGGAAAGGGGGCCCCCCCCCCCGCTTCCCCCCCCTCCTCCTCCTCCTCCTCCTCCTCATCCTCTTCTTCTTCGTCCTATTATTAGTAGTATGTTTGTTATTATTAGGCTTCCTCTTCTTATTCATATTATTATTACCATTATTATTATTATTCATCGTGGCATTATTCTTATTATCATTCTTAATACTCTTATTATCATACTCTTAGTATTATTAATATGACTTAATTTTATTCTTCATGTTCCTCATATTCTTGGTATTATGAATATTCTCCTACTGTAGTATTCCTCATATTCTTAGTATTATTAATATCATCATCATTCTTATGTTTCTTGTTATTATTGTTTTAAAACTGTTCCTCTTATTATTCTTCCTCCTCCTCCTCCTCCTCCTCCCCCTTCGAAAGCCCCCCTCGACGCAGCCTCTTCACCTCCTTGATGCGGTGGTACAGCGGCCGGTGCTCGAGGTGCCGGCACCCGTGCGCGAAGCGCGAGCCCACGACGAACCTGCCCTCGGCGGCGTGCCTGCGAGGGCGTCGTCGCCGCCGCCGCCGTGTTCGAAAGGGGGAGGTCACGTCTGAAGCTTGGGTATCTGATGGGCTCGTTCTCCGCTGCCACTGCCAAGAGCAAGAGGGGGGGAAGGGGGTCCTCCTCCTCCTCCTTCTCCTTCTCGGCCTCCTCCTCCTCCTTCTCCTCCTCCTTCCTCCTCCTCTCCTCTCCTCCTCCTCCTCCTCCTCCTCCTCCTCCTCCTCCTCCTCGTCCTCTCCTCCTCCTTCCTTCTCTCCTCCTCTTCCTCCTCCTCCTTCCTTTTCTCCTCCTCTTCCTCCTCCTCCCCCTCCTTTTCTTCCTCCTGCTCTCCACCTCCTTCCCTTCCCCGCCAACTTATGGTAGTGGTCGTGGAAAACAGGCCCATCAGCTTTTTTTTCGCTGGGGAGGGGGGAGCTCCTCGTGGCCATGGCGAGGCGCGGCTGGAAAAGTATCGGGTCGGGGTGGTGTTCGGGATGAGGCCGCGCACTGGTTATGAGGTTTGGTCGGAAGCAGATCCAGAGACCCAGACTCCTGGGTGACCACAAAAAAAAGAGGGCGGCTAACGCGTCTTAAGTCTTAGCCTACACGGGGTTGCCAAGCTCTGGGGACAAACAGATCAACGCTTGTTAGTTGAAAAAAACGACTGGTTTGTCGTAAGTTTGGGGCCAGAGGGTCGTTTTGACGCTCCGGGAACCACGAGGTGAACACCTGTTGCTTTTAAAAGGTGAGAGTTAAAAAAACACTTGCCTGGAGGAGGAGGGAGCAAAGACGAGAGGACCACCGAGACAACAGTACCAAATGCAGTACGCTCTCCAATAATCTCGACAGCGCGCACAAGGGGGTAGGGGGTAGGGAGAGCGGGGAAGGCTCCTGAGAAGGGGGCTGCTTCTTAGAAGGCGGCGGCCCTACACCTATAGACAAGGCCCGCGCTTTCTGCGAAGCAGGGACGCTTCTAAGAAGCCTTCCTCCCTCCCCCATACCCGAATCAGGTGAGGAATGAACTGGTTTGAAATTGTTGGGAACCCCCAAACCGGGTGGTGAGATACCAGGTGGCGACCTGGAATCCCCAAAAAGGTCACCTCTGGGTTTGGGGACACGGGGTCACCACCGGGTTTTGTGACTCCTGGCCACCAGTGTTCGGGACATCCTCGGAAAACCGCACGAGTCCCCAAACCGGGTGGTGACACCAAATCGCCCGAGACTCACCGCCAGGTGTTGTCACCACCACGTTTGGGGACTGCCGAAATTGGTACGCGTGGCCCTCCGGGGCTCTGCCACAACCTGGAAGGTGCCTTCTTCGGCCAAGCGCTTCGGGCCAGTAGCTATGCTGCGGGGAACCAGCGCCGAATCTAGCGTAACGGCGCTCTGTGGCCGCAAGCTGATGTCCCGCCTCCCCCCTAATTACCCCCCTCTGCGCGTGGCCGACTGTTGCCGTCCCTCTGGCGAGTTGTTGCTTACTCGGCGTTTCGACACTGGGCGGAAAAGCGGGGGAAGGGGGGTGGCGTCTGGCTCTGGACCCCTGCCTAGCGCGGCCGTCTGCAGCAGTGCGTCCTGTGGGGAGGACCCCACCTGCTCGAAACCGGTGCCAAAAACAGCCACGACCTCCTCCACAAGGGGTGGGGGGTGCAAGGGCCCGCGCCGATCGGCAAAACGATGAATCCGCCGATCCCGCGTGTGTGTTTCAAAGACCCTCAGAACAGCCTGAGCCTCAATTCCTGAGGTTCAGCTCTAATGGGGGGTGCGTGCCGGGGTGGCTCTGCCGGGGTAGGGGCAAGGGAGGGGGGGGGTCGATGTAATTCCCGGGGGGAATCGGGGCTCCAGCTCACTCCGGGACGGCCCCCTTGCCCAGGAAGGCCCCAACATGGGCCAAGAGGGCCCCGAGTCGCCGAACGATCGCTACAAGACGCCCAAGATGTCCCCAAGACGGCTCCAGAAACCTCCAAAATGCCCTCCGAAACCCTACAAAGGCCTCACAAACAAGGCCCAATGAAGCAAAAAGTCGCCCATTCCCGAAGGACAACGAACAATGTCAGCATATTCGCCTCTTGGGACTGCAGAACGTGGCAGACGCCCCCAGAGAACCTCAAAACGGCCCAGGAAACCGCCAAAAAGGTTCCAAGACGGCCCAAAGAAAGGCCCCCCAAGATGGCCCAGGAGGCCCTCAGAAAAGCCCACGAGGGCCCCAGGACGGACGCAAGAGGCGCCTGAGAGGGCGCCAAGTCGGCGGAAGAAGTGCCGACGGCCCAAGAAGCCCCCAGCAAGCCCCCACAAGCCCCCAAGAGGCCTGAAGAGGCCCCAATGACGCTTCCAACCGGCCCCGAAGAGGCCCCCTGAAGCCCCCTTTGAGGCCCCCAAGAGTCTCAAACAACGCATCCAAAACTTTGTCCCCAGGCCTCCAAGCTGCCTCCAAGACTCCCCCCGGGAAGCCCAAAACCGGCCCCAACGTTTCCACAGCGCTTGAGTCTGAACACTAGCGCTGGAATGCGTAAGTTTATTCAACGCATTCACATATTATCCCGCCTTCGTCTCCCATCGCATCCATGATATATTCGGAGTGCACCAAATCGGCGAAGCGTCAACCCAATGAAGGCCAACACCTGGCCCCAAAGGGTCTTTCCAACAACCGCCGAACATAACGCCCGCCGAAAATATCCTCATCCTCGTCATGCTCCTCCTTTACAATTACTCAATATGAAAATACTTTCCCTCTTCCCCTGATGGCGTCCGGGTGATGGCCGCGCACCCTCCGCGTAGTGTTTTTTTACACACAAGATTCCCCGGAAATCCCGGGAAACGACTCTCGCTGAGGCGCCGGCGTCATTTTTCCCCAAAATGCTGCTCTCGTTGAGGCGCCGGCCTCATTTCTGCTCCCGAATCGTTCCGAATCGTGCTCCCGCTGCAGCGTGGGCCTCATTTTCGGATCGGTGTTTGGCCTCCGTCGTTCAGGATGGCGTTTTCGCCCCAGCGCGGGCCTTTTTCTCGCGCGCCCATCCGCCCGCCACCACCGCGCCGCACCGCCACCACCACCACCACCACCACCACCACAACCACCACGAGCACCAGCACCAGCACCAACACCACCACCACCAGCACCACCACCACCACCAGCACCACCACCACCACCAGCACCACCAGCACCACCACCAGCACCACCATCACCACCATCACCACCACCACCACCACCACCACCACCACTACCTCCACCACCACCACCACCACCACGACAACACCAGCACCAGCACCAGCACCAGCACCACCACCACCACCACCACCACCACAACCACGCACACACGCACGCACGCACGCACGCACGTGCACCACCACCCACCACGCACGCGCGCGCGGAGCCACAGGTCCGCTACGACACGCGTCCGCGGATAGAGAAAATCAGCGCCATGGTAAGGGATGGGAGGGAGGGGTAGGACGTCAGATATGACGCGAGCGCACCTAGCTTGTCACTTTCCCCCTCTTCCACTTCCCGTTTCCTCCTGCTCCTCCTCATCCTCAGCATCCTGCTACTCCTGCCCCCCTCCCATCCCCCTCCACCTCATCATGATCCTCCTCCTCCTCCTCCCCGTCCTCCTCCTCCTCCTCCTCCTCCTCCTCCTCCTCCTCCTCCTCCTCCTCCTCCTCCTCCTCCTCCTCATCCTACTCCGTTGCCTCCATCTCCAATCCTCATCATCATCCTCACCGTTCCTCGTCGTCGCCGGTCATGACCGCCATCGTGCGTTTCCGGCAGCAACGGAAGCGTCCCAGATCGGCGGCACTGGCCGGAGGCCACTACAATAAGAAAACGATCACCTGGAGGCTTCTTTGGTTTCACAAGGCCTCCTGGAGGTTGTTGGGCCCTGGGGTGCGTTCCATCGGGGTGCAGCACCCCCCTCTGCGCGAGGCTGACAACCGCCCCGCCCGCAGTCACGGCAGAGGAGAGAGAGGGCAGGAAGGGCGAGAAGGACACCGACGCCGCCGCCGGCGGCGATGACGGCGGCGACGGGCGCTGGGGAGAGGAGGCCGCAGGGACTGAAGAGGTACCGGTATCTCGACAGCCAGACCCAGGGCAGAGGAGCATCCTTCAGTGGCATGAAGCCCCCCGCTGGCCAAAACACGCAGAACATGCAAGGGGACCCTTCCCAGGATGCATAAGAACATCCAACAAACACGAAGAACATTAGTGCACCCTCCCCGAACCGACCTCCATCGTGGACCTCGGTCCGGTTCTGGGACCTCTCCCTGGGCGCGCCCAGGCCAGAATCTCGAGGAGAATGCCCAGCCGTAGCGACGGAGAGACCTCTTGGGGCGTCGCTTCATGGGAGGCGATGCGTGGTGCATAGGGTTACGGCGGGCCTGTCCCCCTACAGGGGGATCTTCGGCGAAAAATGTTTAAAACAAGGCCCCAAAAATGCCCCCAAAAGGTCAAAAAAACACTCAAAAAATAGTTCCCAGACTATGTTTGGACTATGGTTTGACTATGTGTGGGATAGTTTCTATGTTTCGTCGAAAATCCCCCTTATATAGGGGGACAAGCCCGACTTAAGCATAGGGGGGAAAGAGAGGTACGCTTCTCGGGCCGTAAAGGCCCCGTTTGGGGGGCCCTAAGGGGCCCCCTCGGGGGCCCAAAAGGGCCCCTTTTCTGCAACCCGCGCTGCCCCCCCCCCATTCGGCGGTGGACAAACCTCCCTTTAGTAGACCTCCCCATAGTGAAAGCGGCCTGGGACCGAAGCCGACGGACCTGCACCCACAAGAATGACGGCCGCGACGCCCTCTCGCGAACCGAAGACGGCCGATTCCTGAGTCGACGCGTCAGGGCAGGAGGCCTGTCCGCCTCCGACCTACTGATCGCCCCCCCATTGCGCGACGCCCGACCTCCAGAACGAGCAGCGGCGTCGGCACATCTCCGCCTCCGTCGAAGGCAGGGGGGAGGAGGAGCGAGGATCTGGTCCGGGCTCGGGAGCGAGAGCCTGGCCATCGCGCGCGGGCAGCGACGCGGCCGCGCCCCCCCAAAAACCTGCCCCGCCGAAATCTGCACAGAGCGGCGAGGCCTGCGGCGGAGCACCCTGCTGTCCTGGGCAGACCGTCCGCCCGCCGAAGTCCACGCGGAAGGGAAGCCAGCACTACAGCATAGGGGCCTTTCCACACGAAACCTCCCACAGGAAACCCAGCCCTGAGACCCCAGGACGTCCACGGACTCTTGGCGTGGGAACGCCGCGCCCTCCGCAGCAAAAACCGCCGAAGCCTAACAAACCCAGGGCACCCAGGAGGCAAGCAGGGTGCTTCTTGCCACGGGCCCCCGCTGTACTACACGTGCCCGCCCCGTCGAGGGCAGGGGAGGAAGAGCGAAGCGGGCGACTGAAGGGGAACTGGGACACACAAACAAATACACACAAATGAACGGATTCCCCATATGTTCCCCTATTTTCTGGGTTTCTGCCTTCCCCCCCACTTCCCATATTCTCCCATATTCTCTGGGGAATCGACGATTACTTGTGTCTCTGTGTTTTTTTCCCCTCCTGAGCGCCACGCTTGGCGGTGGACAAACCTCCCTTTAGTAAACCTCCATTTAGTGAAAACGGCCTGGGACCGAAACCGACGGACCTGGACCCGCAAAAATGACGGCCGCGACGCCCTCTCGCGAACCGAGAGCGGCCAATTCACTCATCGACGTGTCAGGGTAGGAGTTCTGTCCACCTCCGACACGCCGCGACCGCCGCGGCGCGAGCCCCCGCCGCGCGCCTCGCGTGGGACTCCGGCAGCTCCCCACTTCCCCTATTTTCCCATATTCTCTGGGGGATCGACGATGACTTGTGTCTCTGTGTTTCTGTCCCCTCCTGAGCGACGCGCAGCGACCGCCGCGGAAAGGGCCCCCGCCGCGCGCCTCGCGTGGGACTCCGGCAGCTCCAGGCGCAGCTCCCGCGGCGAGCACTCGGCGAGGCGCACGCCGTGCTCGGCCTCTGCGCGTGCCCGCCGCGGCCCCGCGCGGCTGCGGCGGCGGCGGCGGCGTCGCTCGGCGGCGTCGCTCGGCGGCCGCGGCAGCGGCGGCGGCGTCGCTCGGCGGCGGCGGCGACGACGGCGGCGCCGGCGACGGCGACGGCCGGCGACGGCGACGGCGACGACGACGGCGGCGGCGACGCTGGCGGCGACGACGGCGGCGGCGGGGTCACTCCTCGGCAGCGGCGACGAGGCTGAGGGGGGGGGGGGGGGAGGAGGAGGCAGGAGGATGGTCGAGCTGCAGCCCTGACCCGACAAGAGGCTAAGCCTCTGGTCAGGTCAGGGCTGCAGCTGGGCCCCTGCAGTGAGCAAGCGAGGTCTGGGCACGCAGCGCGATCTGGAGCGCAGGCCGCGCCGTGACGGATGGACCGCATCCGACGTCATAGGCAGCGCAGCATGAGGCACGCTCCTCAAACTCGCATGCAACGAACAGGCAGGACTTTGTCGCCAAGCCAGAAGCTCGAAGCGATGCAGTCCGACAGGTGTTGCGGGACTTTCATACACCCTGCGAAATGCTTCAGAAATCATGGGTTAAGAAATGCATAATCTCAGAACTTGAATAAAAAAAACAAAATTTCTATTAAAATCTTAGGACTTACATTGAAAGATTAAGAATAATCGAAATTCTGGCCTAAAATGAAAGTTTTCTTAAGCATCGGCTAAGGTTTACAGAGAAGCTGCAGGGTGCGAAACCAGAGAATCAGAGATTTGCCGTCCCGTGGACCTGGCTTCCCACGAGCTCCCGTTCTGCGAGCGGATGCACAAGTACCGCTGTCCGAAGTGCAGCCACGGCCGAGGCGCCACGTGCCGCGCAAGCTCGAGCGCGTGCGCCCACCAAGCTCAAAATGGGGGACAGTCGGGCGATGCATTGGATACACCCCCAGGGCAGCCCAAAATCGAATCGATAAGTCGGATCGGCGATCGAAATAAGTCGGATCGGCAGAAATCGACAGCCGAGTCGGGAAAAGTCGAATCGGCGGAAATCGGCGGGCTAGTCTGCGTCCAATAACAACTCGGAGCCCAAATCGGAATCCGAAATCGAATCGAATCGGAATCGGAATCCATCGGAGTCGAATCGAATCGAATCGGAGGATTCGAAACGAGCTCTGCACCCCCCCAAAGTCTACGCGGCCACCACCCTTGCTGCCATGGTAGTGGCCGTCCAAGCCGCCCAGGGGTACAGGGCCGGGTGGCCTGCCAGAGGAGGCACCCCAAGGAGTAGGATCAGGTCGGGCGCGTCCCCCTACAGGCGGATCTTGGACAGAAAACAAGTCAAACAAAAATCGGAAAAGATCAAGAAGGGTCACAAAGTCGTCCCCTGACTATGGTTGGACTATTTTTGAATATTCCTCCTGTAGAGGGACGCGCCCGACTTAAGAAAGGGAGCGGAGGCCCGGTGAGGGCGTGGTTGGAAAGCGCCGCAGATTGGGACACGAAGCCGGGCGATTTGGCACAGATGTCAAGCGCTTTGCTTGCGGGGGCCTGCGCGGTGGGCCAAGACAGAAACTGCCTTCCAGGGAAAGCGAGATGAGCTCTGGAGTGCCCAGCACGGGATCGAATGGGCATGCCCCGATGGAGCCTTTGTAAAATGCAGTCCGTCTCCATGAGCCTGCGTAAAGTGCAGGTGCTAAGGTCCCCCGCCGTGCCAACCTGGAGGGATGGAGTGGCTGGTGATAAGACGACCCCTGCTGGAGCTGCGCCTTGCTGACATACTCTTCTCTTAGCAACGCAGCTGTTGTCCGTAAGATCTAGGCGGCGCACCTCAAGTCTGACGGTCCTTTCCTCGCTCAGGACATGCCCTCTCCTCCTCCATCATCCCTCCTCCTCCTCCTCCTCCTCCTCCTCCTCCTCCTCCTCCTCCTCCTCCTACTCCTACTCCTCCTCCTCCTCCTCCTCCTGAGGTCTTCACCTGAGACCCCTCGGGACTCCACGTTGCCCTCCCCGCGCCTCGAGGAGGAGGAGCGAGAAGACGGGGACGAGAGCGAGGACGAGGACCCGCCTCTCCCTTCACGCCGCCCCTGCCCCCATCGTCGCTCTCCCCCTCCTCCCCTCCCCCTCCCTCCTCCCCCCCCTCCTCCTCCCCCCTCCCCCTCCTCCCCCCCTCCTCCCCCCCTCCTCCCCCCCCCCTCCTCCCCCTCCCCCTCCTCCCCCTCCTCCTCCCTCCCCCCCCCCCCTCCTCCCCGTCCGCCCGAAGAGCGGCGCCGGGGGCAGGACCACGGAGGCGCGCACGGCGGGCTCGCCGCCAGCGCAGGCGCAGACGCGGCGAGGGTGACGACGGCCTCGTATCTGGACGCCCGCAGTGGGTGCGGAGAGGAGGGGCACAGTGCCCAGCAACAAATGTGGTCCCGAACCAACTGAAGGGGCCCTGGGACACACACACACATAGGTACACACAAGTAAACAGATTCCCCCCAGTTTCCCATAAGTTCTGGGTGTTTGTCTTCCCCACCACTTCCCATATTCTCGCATATTTTCCGGGAAATCGACGATTGATTGTGTCTGTGTTGTTTCCTCTCCTGACCAACAGCGGCCGCTCTTGAGCAGGCGGCCTCCTGTCTCAGATGGACACTATTGTTTGATTATTTTTGGATGTTTTATTCTTCGTCGAAAATCTCCCTGTAGGGGGACAGGCCCGACTCAAAACCAGATGCCCCGGCGCCTGGAGGCGGCAGCTCGCCATCGCTCGGACGTCCATTCCCTGTGTTTTTGTCGGTTTCGTGCGTGGTTTTTTCGGCAAACAAATAATAAAAAAATAGTCCCCACAGTATTTTGTTTGACAATTCTTCGCCGAAAATCCCCCTGTAGGGGGACAGGCCCGACTTAAAACCAATGCCCCGGCGCCCGGAGGCGCACAAAAAAATACTAAAAAATAGTCCCCAGACTATTTTTGGACTATGTTTTGATTATTGTTGGAGAGATGTTTCTATGTTTCGTCGAAAATCCCCCTGTAGGGGGACAGGCCCGACTTAAAACCAGCTGTCCCGGCGCCTGGAGGCGGCAGCTCGCCATCACTCGGACGTCCATTCCCTGTGTTTTTGTCGGCTTCGTGCATGGCTCTTTCGGCAAATGGTCAAGGATGCTCCTCGATGGCCCTCGCCGAGGGAAAACTGTCTGGCTCCGGGACGCCCCGAGCCGTGCCCGCACTGCTCGGGGCCCTCCTCTGGCCCGTAGGCTTACCAGCCTCGAACAGATCCCTATCCCTGAGATCGACACGCCAAAGGGCGATGGCAACCTTCGGGATGCGCCCTCAAAAAATAAGGAAATCCCTGATGGTCAAGGGTGCTCCTCGATGGTCCTCGTCGGGGAAAAAACGCACACGTCCGAGCGATGCCCCGGCGCCCGGAGGCGGCAGGCGCGGCCGCGCGAGCCGAGGCGGGCGCCCGGCGGCGGGGGCCGCGGGGCCTCTTAGCCGCCTGCGGCAGGCCCCGGAGGGCGCCCCGAGCCGTGCCTGCACTGCTCGGGGCCCTCCTCCTCCGCCTCCTCCTCCTCCTCCCTCCTCCTCCTCCCTCTCCCCTCCTCCCCTCCTCCCTCCTCCCCCCCCTCCTCCCTCCTCCTCCTCCTCCTCCTCCTCCTCCTCCTCCTCCTCCTCCTCCTCCTCCTCCTCCTCCTCCCTCCTCCTCCTCCTCCTCCTCCTCTCCCCTCCTCCTCCTCCTCCTCCTCCTCCTCCTCCTCCCTCCTCCTCCTCCGCCTCCGCCTCGCCTCCGCCTCCCTCCACCCTCCCTCCCTCCCTCCTCCCTCCCTCCCTCCCTCCCTCCTCCCTCCCTCCCTCCTCCCTCCTCCCCTCCCTCCTCCCTCCTCCCTCCCTCCCTCCCTCCCCCTCCCCTCCCCTCCCTCCTCCTCTCCTCCCTCTCCCTCCTCCCTCCTCCCTCCTCCCTCATCCCTCCTCCCTCCTCCCTCCTCCCTCCCTCCCTCCTCCCTCCCTCCTCCCCCTCCATCCTCCCTCCTCCCTCCTCCCTCCTCCCCTCCTCCTCCTCCTCCTCCCCTCCTTCCTCCTCTCCTCCTCCTCCTCCTCCTCCTCTCCTCCTCCTCCTCCTCCTCTCCTCTTCCTCCTCCTCCTCCTCCTCCTCCTCCTCCTCCTCCTCCTCGGGGGCCTCTCGATGCCTTACGTTGCATCCTCGTGATGCTCGCGCGCGGCCGCTGCTGCTTCGGCCTCCTCCTCCTCGGGGTTACCAGCCTCGAACAGATCCCTATCCCTGAGATTGACACGCCCAATGACGATGACAACCTTCGGGATGCGCCCTGAAAAAATGAGGGGATCCCTGAGACTGGCATCGTGCTGAGGCGATGCCCAGCATGGGGGTAGGGATATGTTCCAGGCTGGTAAGTAGCCGCGGGGCCGGCGCCGCCTGCGGCAGGCTCCAGGGCTCCCCGAGCCGTGCCTGCACTGCTCGGGGCCCTCCTTTGGCCATCGCTCGGACGTCCCTTCTGTGTTTTTTTGTCGGCTTCGTGCGTGGTTCTTTCGCCAAATGATCCAGGATGCTCCTCGCTGGCCCTCGCCGAGGGAAAAATGCCCACGTCCGAGCGATGGCAAGTCCTTTGGCCCGTAGGCGGCCCCGAGAAGCAATTCGGGATCCCCCTGGCGCTACCTGTGGCACTCGCATCAAGGAGCCCATGCCCGAGGGGGGGGGGGGCCGCCGAACGAATCATTTAGCACCCCAACAAACTAGTGTTTTGAAAGATTCCGCAGGAGGAGGGGCAGGGGGGAGTATGAGAGGCAGAAAAAGAATCTCACCAGCCCTCTGGGCGTAGGTGGTTTAAGGAGTTTCCTCTTCCACCCCTCCTTCTTCCCCTTCGGGGAGGGGTTTACCCCTCCCCCTACCACCACCCCTGGACCTGGACAGGGGGTTCCGCGAGTCGTCGAAGCGTCCAAAACGGCCTCGGCGAGGAAGCCAACATCATTGGTTTTACTAGCGTTGTGGCCCCATTTTGGCCTCCTGAGGGGGGGACTGTAATTAGTACCCCCCCTCCTGTGACCGATCTCACCCAAGATGGCCCAAAGATGGCCCCCAAGGCTCCCAAGGGTGCCCCAAGAGGGCCCCAAGAGGTGGCCAGGAAGCCCCAAGAGGCCCCAAGGATGCCCCCAAGAGGCTCTCAAGAGACCCCCAAGAGGCCCCAAGAGACCCCCCAGAGGCACCCGAGATGCTCCAAGAGGCCTCGGAGAGAATGCCAAATCATTGAGTTTATAAAGGTTTTAGCCTCATGTTGGCCTCCTGTGGGGGCACTCATTAAGATGACTCCAAGAGCGCCTGGGAGAGCCCAAGATGACCTCCAAGATGGCTCAAGATATCCCAAGATGTCTCAGAATGGCTTCCTCTGTGTGCTGCCCACTTCCCTGATCGAGGAAATTCCTCTGGGCAGCGTTTCTGGATGGGCTGGTGGGGATTCGCGAAGCGTCAACAGTTTCTCCTTCCCAAAGCAGTGCTTGTACTTAGGAGCTCTTACTTCTCTTCCTCTTCTGAGGAACAAACCCGTGTGCAGCCCCAGCGACCCAATTCCCGTCCGTCGCCGCCGCCCCGTGGCACGCCCCCCCCCCTCGACCCGCTGCATTGCAATCGCATCGCATCGCATTGCTGTCGCACTGCATCGCATTGCAGAGCAATCGCGCTATTTCTTTGCATTGCTTTCGATTGCTTTACATCGCAGTCATTTGCAGTGTTTTGCATTGCTTTGCATCGCTACGCTGTGCATTGTTTTGCACTCATGTTCACTGCTGTGCTCCGGATCGCACTGCGCTGCATTGCTCTGCATTGCTCTGCATTGCTCTGCATTGCTATACCTTGCTGTGCATCGCGCTGTGTTGCGCTGCACTGCTTTGCACTGTGCGGCAGTGCTCTGCACTGCGCTACATTGCGCCGCATTGGTTTGCACTGCGTTGCACTGCTCTGCGCTGCGTTGACATGACGTGCGGTGCGGGCCATTGCGTTGCATTGAAGCATTGCTCTGCAGCGGCGCAGCGGCGCAGCGGCGCGGCGAAGGGAAGCCGGGGGGAGACGCGTGGGGCCAGCCCAGGCCACGCGGGCCCTTCCGCCGGCGGCGAGGCAGAGGCGGTCGGCTCCAGCGTGTGGCAATTCGGGGCAGCCGAATGGCTAAGTGGCCGGCAGGCGGGAGAGGGACAGGGACGAGGGCGGCTGCGCAGAGGGAGGGGGCAGGAGGAGCACACGGACGTGAAGACTTCCGCGTCGAAAAAGCCAGAGCACACACACACACACCACAACGACCGCGCAGTCTGGCGCCCCCGCGCGCGTCCTCGCCGAGGGCTCCCGAGACGGCGCGCCTCGCCCTCGCGGCATATGGCGACTGCGCGCCAGCGGCGGGAGGGGGGGCGGGGGGCCGCCCCAGAGGCTCGGTGCGCCACCGCTCGCCACGGGCCCCCGATGGGGGAGCGCGCGGGCGCGGCGGCGGGGGCGGCGGCGGGGGGGGGAGGCGGAGCGGGGAGGGCGAGGAGGGGCGAGGGCGAGGAGCGGGTGGGGCGGGGGGCGGAGGTTCTCCATCCTCCCGGTTCCTCCTCCTCCTCCCCCCTCCTCGGCCTCCTCCGTCGCCCCCCTCCTCACCATCCATCATCATTCGCTCCTACTCCTCCTCCTCCTCCTCCTCGTCCTCCTCCTCCTCCTCCTCGTTCTCCTCCTCCTCATCCATCATTCCCTCCTCCTCCTCCTCCTCCTCCTCCTCCTCCACCTCCCCCTTGGCTCGCACATCTCTCGTTCGGGCGCACAGTGCGAGGAGAGCGCAAGGGAAGAGACCTCCGTGTCCAGCGAGAGGATGTGGTCGGGGTTCACCCGCATGCCCCAAGCCATCTGCACGTCCCCGCCGTCCTCCGCTCGGTCCCAGGAACTCAACGAGCTCACAGCGTCTGTTATCGTTGTTTGGAAGAAGTGTTAGCCCCCCTGGTATTACGTGTGGGACACGTGTCCCGAACCAAGGTTTGCACTGCGGGCGTCGTACGTGCACGCTGCTGGAAGAACCCCAGATGGAAGGACTGGCGTATTTTCCCGTCGATGCGCGGCCCGAAGGTCCCTAAGGATATGCTTAATGTGTGATAAGGTCAATGCGTATTGGCAAACGCGTTCAATTCTCAATCCCCCCACATTGCGCACAAATATCTCGGTCGCTGGCGTCAGCATCCCCAGGCAGACTGATCATTGATTGGCCGCGTTGCGCATCGCCCAAACCCAGAGCCAATGTTCGAGAATGCCGCGACGCTGCGCTGCAATACAGCATGACGCGAAACCCACGTCGAGAACGTCAAACCGGTATCGGTGGCTGCACCCGTGCGAACGTTTCGCAGCCTGCTGTCGTTCCTGCGTGTGGGGTGGGGGGTATCAGCGATTGTGCAATGCCAGAAATATCAAAACAAGTACGCTCTGCATCGGCACACGAATGCCCCTTGAGAACGGAGGAGGGAGGGAGCATGAATGAATGAGAGGGGAGACAAAAGAAGGAAGGAGGCCGATCGAGAAAAAACAGCAAAAAGGAAGAGGGGCAGGGAGATGACGGGAACCGAAGGGGGGACAGAAAAGGAGATGGAGGAGACTCAGTGAAAGCACACTCAGCAGCAGTAAGTGGCGGAAAATGAGAAGGATGGAGGCAAATCGAACGCCATGGACTGATCCCGATGGCATACCGAATGCAAGAGAGATGGAGAAGGATGAATGTGGAGAAGAGGGGGTATGAAGATGAAGAGGGGGCAACGGGAGGAGAAACCGTTGGAAACCTCAAGAAATAGTAGGTGAACTCAGGAATAATCCCTGAAAGTCTTCCCATATTCCCCCACACACTTCAGACCCAACGTTGGATAGATTCGACGATGTGGCGTCCTTGGATGTATCGTTCTATTTAGATTACTCCCTACAAGTTGTTCCGTTCCCCTCGTGATGGCTATGCTCTTACGTTCTTTCGTGGCGGTCTCAGATAGCCATGTTCGTAGGTAAGGAGGCATTGCAAAAAGAAAGACGAAATCTTAGCGGCCTCATTGCAACAGGATTTCCTTTGCGGCGGCCTTACCGTAGCATTCCTTTTGCGGCGACCTTGCAATAGGATTCCCTTCGCGACGGCCCTACAACAGGAGTCCTCGTTGTGGCGGCTTTAAGGGTTCCCTTTGTGGCACCCCATGGCAGCAACCCAGGGGGGTAGATATGACCTTTCGTATATAACAAAAAAACCTGCCAAACTTGAAAACTTTGAACATTGAATTGCACCTCATGGTTGTCACGTTTGTGTGCTGTTCGTCCCCGGACCAAACTCCTGAAAACCCAAAACATATCAGAAACACCACATGTTCACAGAGCGCGCCTTCACAACGTTGGCTGTGATATGGTTATGCACCGTCGAACAAGGTCGTGGTTCCAGTGGGTTACCAAAGGATACGAAAACATCGTGATGTTACATAGTTACGGGCCTCAAGGGGTTAGACTTACTGTGTTCATATGGCCCGGGGTCCAGTGTGTTGTAAACTGATATGGTTGTAGGAGCCTCTTGCGTGTTCCGACAAAGACGATCCCTTTGCACGTAACAACAAAAAGGTTAGATCAGCAGTCCCCCGCAAAAAAAGCCCAGTTGCAACATGTCAAAGGTGGAATCCAGTCGCAATCAGTCATGGAAGAAACCCTTTTTGGTCGGTCTCCACCGACGGAATCGATGTGTAACCTGCAACAAAGGGCTCAGCGCGCCATCGGCCAGAACAGGAATATGGAATGGCGTCTGCGACAGAGAAAATCGTCCAGCAGCCTAGTCGATCGAAAGTATCGTGTGGCTCCCCTCTGCGTTTCAACGCGCATGGGAGATATCGCACCACCTGATCACTATCGCATGCGTCCCCATAGCTTTGCGTTTGGGATCGCAACAGCGCATCGCCAAACAGCAACATTTGGAGGTTCACCCGCCCTCCCTTCCACCGCGCTCCTCCTCTGCCTTATCCTCCTCCCACCCCTCTTCCTTCATTGGCCCTCTCTGTCTCTCTCTCTCTCTGTGTCTCTCTCCCTACCCACGAACACAAACACACGCACACACACACACACACAAACACACACTCACACACACACACACACAAACCCGCACACACACACACACACACACACACACACACACACACATCCTTCTCCTCAACCGCTTCCATCTGCTTCTCCGACTCCTCTCCATCGTCGGCCCCTGCTCCCCTCCTCCGCGCCGTTACGCTCCTGTCTCAAATCTGCTGTATCATCCCTGCTTCGCTATCCTCTTCGACCTCTTCCTCATGTTCCTCCCTCCATGTCTCCTCATCCTCCATAAACCTCTTCCGTCAACCTCCTCCTCCTCCTCCTCCTCCTCCTGAGCATCATCATCATCATCATCATCATCATCATCATCATCATCATCATCATCATCATCATCATCATCCTCATCCTCATCATCATCCTCATCATCATCATCATCAGCAGCATCATCATCATCATCATCATCAGCAGCAGCAGCATCATCAGCATCAGCATCATCATCATCATCATCATCATCATCATCATCATCATCATCATCATCATCATCATCATCATCATCTTCACCATCATCATCATCGTCATCATCATCATCATCAGCATCATCATCATCATCATCATCAGCATCATCATCATCAGCATCATCATCAGCATCATCAGCAGCATCATCATCGCCGGCGCCATCATCATCAGCAGCAGCATCATCATTATCATCATCATCAGCAGCAGCAGCAGCATCACCATCATCATCATCGTCATCAGCATCATCATCATCATAATCATCATCATCGTCAGCATCATCAACCTCAGCATCAGCAGCATCATCATCCTCATCATCATAACAGCATCATCAGCATGATCAGCATCAGCATCATCATCATCATCATCATCATCATCATCATCAGCATCGTCATCCTCATCAACCTCAGCATCAGCAGCATCATCATCATCATCATCATAACAGCATCATCAGCATGATCAGCATCAGCATGATCAGCATCAGCATCATCATCAGCAGCAGCAGAGTGATCATCATCGTCATCGTCATCATCGTTATCATAGTCAGAATAATAATCAGCATCCAAATCATCAGCAGCATCATCAGCATCATCATCAGCAGCATCAGCATCGGCATCATCAGCATCATTATCATCACCATCATCTGGATCAGAAATCAGCATCCTCATGATCCTCATCATCGTCATCACCAGCATTATAATCATTGTCAGACTCATCATCTTCATCATCATCAGCATCATCATCCTCATCCGCATCCTCATCATCATCAACATAATCAGCATCAGCATCATCATCATCAGCAGCATCATCAGCATCAGCATCATCATCATCATCATCAACATCAGCAGCAGCAGCAGCATCAGCAGCATCATCATCCTCATCATCATCCTTATCCTTCTCCTCCTCCTCCTCCGCCTCCTCGTCCTCGTCCTCGTCTTCCCCTTCATCCTCCTCCTCCTCCTCCTCCTCCTCCTCCTCCCACCCTTCCTACCCACCTGCCAGCCCCCCTCCCTCCTTCACTGACCTGACTCCTCCGACCTGAACGTCCTCGTCGCCCCCCCACCCAGTCCCCCCTCCCCCCGCCCTTCTCAGGAGAGCCCATAATCGAATCGATAAGTCGGATCGGCGATCTAAATGAATCGGATCGGCGGAAATCGGCAGCCGAGTCGGGGAAAGTCGGATCGGCGGAAATCGGCAGGCTACTATGCGTCCCGTAAGAAGTCGGAATCCGAATCGGAATCCCAAATCGAATCGAATCGGAATCGGAAGCCATCGAAATCGAATCAAATCGAATCGGAGGAGTCGAAATGAGCCCTGCCTTCCACCCCATCCTCCCTCCCTGTCTCCGCAGGGGCGGGGCAGAGGGCGGGGGGGGATACCGGCGGCGGGACCGGCGGCGCGCGAGCGAGAGGAGCGGCCCGCCCCCTCCCTCCCGAGGAGGCAGGGAAGGAACACGGGCCAAGCTCGACCGCGGAACGCGGAAACGTCGGCATCGATGCTGGTGACCGTCCATCTTTTTGGACGCCCGACATGGGTACGGAAAGAATGGGTACAATGCCCAACAGCAGTTCCTGTTCCTTTTGAACAGGACTCGCTGTCCACGCCGCCGCGGCCCGTGTCAAGTTGAGACAGAGGGCCGGCAGCCAGGGGGGCGGGCTGGAGCTGAGGGGCCCGCCCTGTCGGCTGCGGGGCCTGCCCAACAGCGGCCGCTGTTGATTTGGGACGACATTAGAGGAAAAAGAACCATGCACATACACCGATTTTGGCCAGGTCCATCCTGAGCCCAAGATCGGTGCACACGCCCTCCTGCCCTGGCCAGGAAGGCATATGCACCGATCCTGGGGCCAAGGATGGGCCTGGCCAGGACCGGTGCAGGTGCACAGTTCTCTTCGCCCGAAACATGTGTTGTTGGGCATTGTACCCATTCTTTCCGTGCCCCTTTCGGGCGTCCAAAGCCTTGGCCACCGCCGATCCGTCGAGGATCCTCGCGAAGCTGCGACGGCCGGCAAGGACCGTGTCATGACCAAGGCCGGCATGGACAAGATGCCGCGGCATCTGGGTCATGGTCGGCGTGTTCTTCCCTCGATCCTTCCCTCCCCCCCCCCCCCACTCCCCACCCCCCCCCCCCAAAAAAAAAACGACGAAAGCAAACAAGGCCCTCCCTACGCGCGTCCTCCAGCGCCCTCTGCACCGAGTGCGAACACCAGCGAAGGCCACTGGCGCCGTCCTGCGGTCGGCTTGGTACCTTCCTCATCCTCCTCCTCATCCGCCTCCTCATCCGCCTCGTCCTCCTTCCCTTGAGACGAGGGCCGCATGAGGACAAATTCGGATGAAGTGCCAGCGGGTCTGGGAATCTGTGAGAGTCAGCGGGTCTCTGAGAACCAGCGGGTCTGGTCCCAAAGTGCTCCAGAGCGTTCTGAGAGCGTTCCGGAACGCTCTGGAGCGATGTATCCTCATCGTAGGCCTGCCTGAACTCCTCCTCCTCCTCCTCCTCCCTCCTCCTCCTCCTCCTCCTCCTCCTCCTCCTCCTCCTCCTCTTCTTCCCCTCTTCTTCATCATCCTCTTCCCTGATCTGCATGAGCTGCTGAACTCCTGGAGGGCCCAATCGAGCGAAAAGAACAAGTCCAGGAGCTTATGTGGTTCCTCGGCCTCAACCTTCTCCGCCCCCGTCCTCCTCAATGACCTCCACTAGCTACTCATCCGCCCCTTCCGCCTCCCCCACTCCTCCTGTGCCACATTCTCCTCATCCGCCTCCTCTTCCTCCTTCTCTCCGAGTTGTTCCACCCCCACTCCTGCACGAGCTCCTATTCCTCAACATCTGATTCCTCCACCTTCTCCCTTCAAGATCGACGGAGGCTACTTGGACCCTCCGGTCGCTTATCACGGTTGGACTCTCTCGTAGCTAGGCCACTCCGATTGTCCCTCCCCACCCTACAAGTACTCCTACTACTCGTATGCATCCATCTACACGGATGTCTCGTCTTCCCACTCCTCCTCGTCCCCAGCCTGCACCCCATCCTCCTCCTCACCCATCCATCCCTTTCCAACATTTCTTCGCACAGGCGCCTCGGTCGGGCGGGGCGGAACGGGCGTTTTCGCTAATTACACGTCGGCCGAAAGAAGTAGGTAACAATATGAAGTAGGAAGGCGAATTGAGTTGATCGGGTCCAGGCCCCCCCCGAGAATAACAAAAAAACACAGCAAAAGCGCGTCGATTCTTGAGGTAGGAAGGCGCTTGAAGTAGCTTGGGATCTGGGAATCCAAAAATACCTGCACCCTGCGAAAAGCTTAAGAAATCATGGGTTAAGAAATTCATAGTCTCAGAAATTCAATTAAAACCCAACACTTCCATTTGAGTCTTAGGACTTACATCCAAAAGGTAAGAATCATCGAGACTCTGGCCGAAAACTTGGGTTTTCTTAAGCATCGCCTAAGGTGCATGTCAAAGACCCGGCGTGCAGTTGTGGGCAGCCACGCGGACGGAGGGCGCACGGCTCCCGAGAAGTGCGGCCCGCGCCCGAGCGCCACGCGCACGCGCTCGCCCCGAGGCGCTTCCACGACGGCCTGCACGAAGGGGAGGGCTGGCGCGCCCTGCGACGGCTGGACTCCGCCCGCGCGCCGCGCAGGTGCGCCTGCAAATCTCCTCCTCCTCCTCCTCCTCCTCCTCCTCCTCCTCCTCCTCCTCCTCGAGTTTCCCAGGGACACACAAAGAAATACACACAAATGAAAGGATCCCCCATAGTTGTCCATATGTTTGGGGCTTCTGGCTTCCCCCCCACTTCCCATAGTTTCCCATATGTTCTGGGGACTCGACGATTCATTGTGTCTGTGTGTTTTTTCCCCTCCTGACCCACGTCCACACGAGTGGAGGGCGGGCGGGTGTGCGAGGCGGGGATTTATCCAGATCCACCGCCTGTGAGCCGAAGTCCTGGCGGCCCAGCGGGCGGTGGAGATGGATGTATGTTGGGCCCAGGGGGCCCGAATCTGTCCAGGCGGTGGTCCCCGAAGATTGATCCTCCAGGCGGTGGTCATGTATAAATTCCCGCCTCGGAGGGTGGTGTTCATGGGGTGGTTCGCGCCTCCGCGCCGTGCACAAGGTCGTCGCACTGGTGACGCGGATCGATGGCGGGCGGTGCTCACAGTGGTGTTCTCGCCTGAGCGCCCCGCACATTCGCCAGAGAAGCTTCCAACAAGTCCGCCGACCCTGTCGGCGCGTGTGAGGGCTTGTCCGTTCGAGTCGTCGTCTCCGTCACTCGTTATAGGGAAACAAGCTCTATACACCGACGCTTTTTCCGACCCTGCGCTGAAATTCGCACAGGGAAACCGAATCTGGTTTATACGGGATCCTGGTGTATACATTTTTCGTCGTTTCCCCGGGAAAACGGGGAAACCAGTACACACCACACCACCCCGACGTCGTCCTCAACCCTCGAAAAGTCCTGGGATTGAAAAACAGCCCGACACTGGTGATGCATACGTTCCAGTTTCCGACGTTAGTCGTCATCTCTGTCGTCCTCTTCCCCTGCACCCCCCCTTTGACCTGGGCCCGTCGGGCCCTCCTCCTCAAGCGCTGGCCCGTCGCCTCCCCCCCCCTTCCGAAGCCCTCCTCCTCGAGCCCGCCAGCCAAAGCGAGATTGAGCAACGTCGTAAAATAGACTCGAAGGGAAGCCCCTTCCCTTTTGAAGCCTCCCCCGCCGGGAGGGGAAGGGGGTCCCGGGTCGAGTCCATGGGGGGCCCGGGGGGGTCCCAGGGGAGTGTCCCTGGTCAGATACGGCTCACCCCCGGGGGGTCCTGGGGCCAAGAAAAGCCCCAAGACGAGCCAAGAGTGCCCAAAGAGGCGGCCAAGACGGTCCAAGAGGACCCCGAAGCGCCGAACGATCTGTCCAACACGCCTTGACGGCCTCCAGACGACCCAACAAGAGGCCTCCTGGGGCACTCCCAAGAGGGCCCCAAGAGGAAAAATCATTGATTTCCCATAAGTGTTTGAAGCATTTCGGCGTTCTCGCCTCTTCCACTTCCCGACGCTCCAAGACGGCCCAAGAGGCCTCCCAGATCGCCCCAAGACGGCCCAAGAGGCCTCCAGAAGGGACCCAAAACGGCCCAAGAGGGCCCCAAGATGGCCCAAGATTTTTGTTGGGGCTCCACGCCTAGCCCTCCAAATTTGACACATAAGTCAAAGAAGGCAGCACTGACAGCGGAGGGAGATGCCAGTGCGCACAAAAAGCTCAGTCAGAGTCGTCCTCGGGAGGTCTCTGACCGATGGCTGGGAAGAGAGGCTGCGAGCCCTCCTCCTCACGCAGAGTGGTTGCAACAGCAAGCGGCTGCTGCGCCTCCGAGCTCGCCGCTGTGCTAGCCTGGGCAGGCACAGGGTCGTCAACGAAAAAACATGTGTTGAAGCAAGGAATGAGGGAGCCGGCATCGACCGAAACTCCAAGCTTCTGTCTGCTGTAGTGAGGGTGCCGTCCCTGACAGAGCGCAAGGCGGCCCAAGAGGCCCCAAAGCTGGCTCCAAGAGGGTGCCCAATCGAAGGACCCGAACGGACATTTCGAGCCCTCGGCCCCGAGAGGCTCCACGGAGAACCAAGAGGCCCCCAAGGGGCCCCCAAGAGGCCCCAAGCGACCCCCGAGAGGCCCCCAGGAAGCCCCGAGAGGCCCCCAAGATGCTCCCAAGATGCCTCCCAAGAGGCCCTAAACTGTCCCCCAGAGGTCCCCGAGAGTGCTCCAAAGAGACCCCACGAAGCATGCATGAGAACTCTGACCCACGCCAGCGTCCTCGTCGTCGTCGCCGCCGCCGCCGCCGTTGTCGTCGTTCCCCTTCAGGGTCGGCGGCACCTGCCGTAAGGCCTTCGCAATATTATAACTGCTGGACAGCAGCATGGTTCCATATAGCTACTCATGCTTTCGCGTCGCGTACACTTGTCTGAAAAGCGCGGAAGATGTGCACACGGATGGAAGGGAACTCCTTTTAGAGCTTGGGCTCGCGCTTAAGGACTTTATCGTGGTCCCGCGCGTCCTGTGGGGCGTATCTGGGTGGTTCACCGAGCGTGGTATTCCTACCCCCTTCTCTTCGGGAAGGGGTTGCCCCTACCCCATATCCTCTATACTGCGATCGGGACCAGGGTTTCGCCAGGAGCGTGAGGGCACAAGAGGGACCAAGACTGGCTCGAGATGGTTTCCGAGATCGCGCACAACTCGGGTCGGGCGAAAGGGGGGGATAGCAAAGGGGGGGGGGGTGAGAATCAGCTCACGTAGCTGATTTTCCCGGCGCCTCCCGGCGCCGGAGGCGGCTATGTATCGAGGAATGGGCCCCTCGGTGAGGCCGAAACCAGCTGCATGCAGCAAATTTCGTAACCCCCCCTTTCCCAATCCCCCCCTTTCGCCCGGCCCGAATAACAGCCAAAGATGGCTCAAGATGGCTTCCGACAGAACTCCGACAAGATCCAGGACCGCCCCACGGAGACTCCCAAGGCCGCACCCGAGAGACCGGCACCTCTCAGTCACCTCAAGCAAAGGCATCAGTTGTGCCACCTCCTCCGCCTCCGCCTCCGCCTCCTCCTCCTCCTCCTCCTCCTCCTCCTCCTCCCCCTCCTCCTCCTCCTCCTCCTCCTCCTCCTCCTCCCCCTCCTCCTCCTCCTCCTCCTCCTCCTCCTCCTCCTCCTCCTCCTCCTCCTCCTCCTCCTCCTCCTCCTCCTCGCATGTTCGTTTTCGGCGTGCGCCGATAAAACCAAATATGGCCCAAGAGAGCCCAAAGAGGGGCCCCAGGGGGCTCCAAGACGACACCAAGAGCGCCCGAAAACAACCAAAGAGAGCCCCAAGAGGACCCCAAGAAAGTCTCAAGAGACGATGGTTCAGTCTCCGACGGGGGGGGCATAACAGGCGCGGCCCTCTCCTTTGATCGATAGCTCCCAAGACTGCAGCAAGAGAGCCCCAACAGGCCCTAAAGATTGCCACGAGATGCCCCGAAGTCTCCCAGCATGGCCCTGACAAGGTCCAACGATGGCCCCAAGATAAGCTTCTAAGAGGCTGACATGTCGAAAGAGGCTTTTCCTAGGTCTGCTCAGGCTGATCACAAACACCTCCCTGTTCAAGACAACTCGCCTGGGCACCGCGTCTGAAAAGGCTGACAAGGATACTTTTTACTCAGCGGCCGCGGGCGAGCGCGCCGGCGGCGAGTCAGGTCAAAGCGGGCTACGCAGAGACTAATGAGGCAGAGGAAACGCGGGAAAAATAGAGCAGAGCAACGCGCGAGGCGACGGCTAAGCGCCGGCCGAGGCCTCAGGTGGGTGGCTGAGTGCGCCTCACGCAGCGAAAGGAGCTCATTATTGCATGTAGAGGGACTCGGGGCGGGATGGTATATTGCAGCATCCCTGGTGCATCCTGGGTCTGAGTTTGTCCGCTTGTCGTTATCCTCGTCCTCCTCCGCCTCCGCCTCCTCCGCCTCCTCCGCCTCCTCCTCCTCCTCCTCCTCCTCCTCCTCCTCCTCCGCCTCCTCCTCCTCCTCCTCCACCACCTCCTCCGCCTCCTCCCCTCCTCCCCTCCTCCGCCTCCTCCTCCTCCTCCGCCTCCTCCACCTCCGTCCCAGAAGAACGCGGGCCCCAGGGTTGTCTGTGCCACTGCCGTCGTCCCCGGGGCTCTCCGCGGGCCCGGAGGAGGAGGGGGAGGAGGAGGTGGGGGAGGAGGAGGGGGAGGAGGAGGAGGAGGGGGAGGAGGAGGAGGAGGAGGAGGAGGAGGATGAGGAGGAGGAGGGGGAGGAGGAGGGGGAGAAGGAGGAGGAGGGGGAGGAGGAGGAGGAGCCTTCCTCGCCTTCATCGCCCTCCTCCCCAGGACTCCGACGTCGTGGTTGTGTCGCAGCGGGGACCGCGGAGGCCTGCGCTCCCCCCCCCGGGAACGGTTGGAGGCCTGGAAATGGGCACCAACACCAGCCCGGGGGGTTGCCTCCACAGGGAGAAAATGGTCCTAGATTTCGGTGTTGGCGGCAATCTTTCGGCTTCCCTGGAAGCCAGAACTGTTACCGCCATCACCGAGATCGGGATCGTCATCCCCCGGTGGACGCACCCCGCCGATCTTGGTGTTGGTGTCAACCTCTAGGCCTGCGAAACGGAGACAACCCGGCACGACGCTTACCAGGAAATACCGTCCAAAACCGACAGCGGCCGCCGTTGAGGGCGACTGACCATCTCAAATTGACAACGCCCTCGGCGGCACCGACAGCAAAAGACATGCTAAACTGTGCACGGTCTGCTGTCGGTCTTTGCCCCCAGTCTTTCCGTACCCATATCGGTTCTAGATAGAGGAAAACTGTCATCAACACAATCTTTCGGAGACCCGTGCGCATTCCTTGGATCCGCGCTGCAACTCCCTTACTGGCGCGCGGAACGTGCCAAAGGCGGCGCCCGAGACGCCGGCGGGGGGCCCAGCGCAGACCCGAGACATCCGCGCGGAGCTCCACATGTTCATGTTTATGGAACTGCTTTTTCTGCGATGTCAGTTTTCGTCACCGTGCTTCCCGTACTCATCTCGACCCTCCACAAGGAGGAACGCACGGCTTCTTGCGGGGCGCAGGCTCCTCGGTCGCGGGCTCGCAGAACGAGTGGAGCCGCTGCGGCCTGAGCTCGTCCACGCCTCCGCCGCCCCGCCGAGCCAGGGGGGGCCCGCGGCCGCTCGCGGAGGAAGCGAGCGTCGTCGGCATAGCACCGAGGAAGAAGAAAAGTACCCGAAACGAAACATGTCCGCAACTCGGCGCGGGAACTCTTGGACCGGCGCTGGGCCCCCTCTGGCGGCGGCTCAGGCGCGGCCCCTGACACGCTCCGTGCGCCCAAGGGCGGGGGGTCCAGCGCCGATCCAATTGGGCGTGGCTTAATCGGGGGGTCACAAATGGGGGGGTCAGAAAAGGTCCCCTTTCGTGCCCCTTTCCTGCCCCTCCAGAGCCCCAGGGGGCTCGTTTAGGTACCGTTTGGGTACCTTTTCGGACCACGCTCGCCACCCCCCCATTTTATGACCCCCCCATTTTACGCGTCGCCCAATCCAAGAGATCCGCGCAGGCTTCCAGAAATCATGCGTCACTCACAGCCATGTCGTCACACCCCTCACACGCTTCGTGGCCCCATAGGGAGCTCCACCGAAGGCACCAGTGCCACCGCCCGCATGCGTCACCAAGACCCATTTCGGCACACCCCTCACTGGCCCCATAGGGAGCTCCACCGAAGGCCCCAGTGCCACCGCCCGCATGCGCTACCCACACCCATGTCGGCACACCCCTCACACGTTTCGTGGCCCCACAGGGAGCTCCACCGAAGGCCCCAGTGCCACCGCCCGCATGCGTTACCCCCCCCTTCGGCACACCCCTCAGACGCTTGGTGGCCCCATTAGGAGTTCCACCGAAGGCGCCGGGAGAACAACAAATCAACGGCGAAGGCCCAAAACTGCGTTCGTTGTCGCGCCCTTACGTTTGTCCCGGGATTCCACTGGCCACCTCTGTCTGAATGTGTGCCGACCGATCGCAGAACAAATTGTTGCACCGGTCGCACACGTAACGATTTAACGACATACTGGGCGCACCGTATCCACATCGATATCACTGTCAATACCGATTGGTCCCAACTGCCTACCTGCCGAACGATATACATATATAACTGCACGATATGCAAACATACAAACTGTAATTCGATGCGCCGCCGCGAATCCCACACAACGGTTTCTAGCAATCTACGTGCTGCGATATATGTGAAGGAAGCTCTGTGGCGCAACCTATGTGGCACAAGATTCGCGACGCTGAATTCCTGTTCGCACTGGGTTGTCAAATCCACTACTCGCGAAATTCATCCCACCCACCCACCCGCAACTTGGGTCGCATAAGCACCAAAGGGGGCGATTGCAATGAAGGCTAAGTGTTGGCTGGTGCATCTCAGCGGCCGCGCTGCCCCGCGCACGCTCGCGCGCGCAGCGGCCAGCTAGTTTGGCGCGACCGACGCGGCCGCGGTGGCGCTGTCCGCCGGGCACTTCCCAACGGGCACTTCTGTGCGAGTCGACGTCGTGGGCGGGCGTGGTACGTCGACAACGGTAGACGCGAGGATGATCGCAGCGATGCGGGTGACGACGATGACAAAAACGACAGCAAGGCCAGTGACGGCGCCGATACTGACCAACACGACGACGATGGCGGTGTCAGCGCGTCGGTGATGCAGGTTTTGGAAGGAGTTCGACATGCGCGCACCGCCGACGCGCACGAGTGGCCTGCATGCTATTATGTGACACGGACCGCGATCCCCCAACCAGCGCGCAATAGCGTTCGAATGATTTCGACATGCGGCGTGAGAAGCCCGCATAACAAAATCCAGCGAAAACGTTGGCAACGCATGGTTCCGTGATGAACGCACACAGCCGCGAGCGCAGTTTTGTTGTTTTAATAAAAACAAGGATGGTACAAATCCATGTGCGTATGTTTTATTATGTCGTCGGGGCAATCGATTTGGAAATCCGCACGAAACCTAGGGTTGAGTAAAAAATCGGCGTGCGCGCGTGCACATCGTCCGGTCGTTTGCGGAGAAATGATTGCGACAACACGCGCGCAAGAGCGTTCGAACGATTTCGACACGCACGCGCGAAAGGCCCATGTGGTAGCATGTTGTGAAAATGTTGAAATTAGCACAGTGAATCACTGACAAACCCAAAAAAAAAGAGTCCGAGCGCAAACTGTTGTTTGAAAATTAGTTTGCGAAACCACATGGTTAAATGTTTCGGGGCACTCCACTTCGGAAGCATTACGAAACATACGGTGTTACAAGATTTCGGCATGCGCGCGCGACGACGCGCGCGTGTGAATTTCGTTCTGTTTTGCGCAAAGGGCTACAAGAAACTTACGAGTTGTGAGAAACGGGTGCGCGCGCATAAATATAATTTTTACCGAGGATGAGGGGGGAGTCGATACTGGCCTGTCTTGGATGGCATGGACTCATAATTGATATGGACGATGATGCAATACGAAAACGTGGCCCATCAACCCCAGGAAATGGGGTACATCCTACCACCTTTTTTGATATTTTAAAAAAGAAGAAAATGCGTGGTGCAATGTGACGGCGGCGACGACGCGGCCAAGGGGCGGCGACGGCGACAACATAGCCGCCAGGCCGGCGGCCAAGCCCAAACGACGGGCGGCGACGAGGCGGCGACGGCGACAACATAGCAGCCAGACAGACGGTCAAGCCCAAACGACGGGCGGCGACGAGGCGGCGACGGAGCGACGACACCATAGCCGACAGACCAACGGGCGGCGACAGGGCGGCGACGGGGAGGCGACGGCGACAACATAGCCGCCAGACCGACGGTCAGGCCCAAGCGACGACCGGCGACGAGGCGGCGACGGAGCGACGACGACACCATAGCCGACAGACCAACGGGCGGCGACGGGGTGGCGACGGGGCGGCGACGGCGACAACATAGCCGCCAGACCGACGGCCAGGCCCGAACGACGGGCGGCGCCGACGCGGCGACAGGGCGAGGCGGCTGTGACATCATAGCCGACGAACCGTCGGCCAGGCCCAGTTCCTTCGACCTTACGCAAGAACCCTTACGTGCAAACATAGGTTGGGGAACATATGTGTATTTATATATATATATATATATATACCTATCCATGAAAATGACGTATATATACATATACATACACGTACACATATGCTTACCTATCTGCATGTACATACGCATAAGTATACACATATATGTACGCAAATACCTATACACAGACATATACATACACATGTGCATGTACATATACATAAACATACACATATACATATGCCTATACAAATGCAAATACATATAAACATATAGAAACACCTACAGACACATCTACATATACGTATATATAAGCGTCATACATATATGCACATACAAGCACATATACATACATATATATAGGGCGAGATGAACAATGCATATGCCTATGCAAATACATATACATATACACAAACATTTACCTATATATACCCTAACACTATGTGTTAATTCGCCTTTCTCCTCCTCCTTATTACTATTATCATTATGCTTATCCTTCTCCTTCTTCTCCCCCTACTCCTCCCCCTCCTACTCCTGGCGCGGCGGAAGCGGACTATTCCTCGCAACGCGACCGCGCCGCCCACCCTGCGCTCCAGGGGCACCGCGGCGACCCGGTAGGCGAACGCGACGACCTGGGCCCCCGCGCCCCTGCGCCTGCGCAGGCGCTCAGCCGGCCAGCCCCGCCGCCAGCCGGGCGGCGGTCGCTGGGGCCTCCTCGCCGAGCGCGGCCGCGGGGGGCTGCCGAGAGACGGCGCGGGGAAGCGCCACGCTGATCTCGGCGCCCCAACGCCGCGTCAGCGCGGCCGCGGCCGCCGCTTCCGGGCCGTCGTCCAAGCTCTGCGCCTGGTCGCGCGCGAGCCAGAGCAGGCGCCGCAGCGCCGCCTGCCCGAGGCGGCCGGCGGTCTCGTGCGCCAGCGGCAACAGCTGCCTGGGCGCGCGGTGCCCAGGGTAGCGGCGCCGCTTGTCGGCCTCCGCGGCGGCGTTGGCCGCGCCGTCTCCGTCGGCGGCTGCGGCCAGGGCCCGCGCGTCGCCCGGGACGCTGGGACCGCGACGTCAGCGAGGAGGCGGGGGCAGTCCCCTCGCTGCGCCTCCAAGTCCAGGAGCGTTTCCTCCCGCTCCGCCGCCAGCGCCGCTCCGCAGGCCGCGCACGGCCCACGCGGCGGGGCGCCGGCGACGCCGCGCGCCGCGCGGGCCGCGGAGGAGCAGCGCCGACGCCACCTGCCCCAGGCGGGCACTGGCACCTGCCGCGCTGTCTGGATAGGGGGCCACATGCGAACCCTACCCCTACCCCTCAGAAATCCGCCGACCCCTTGTGGGTCTCTAGGCGTGTGAGATAGTTCCCCCCCCTACCCCCCCCCTGGGACCCCAAACCGGAGATTCGAACCCGCCCCCCCCGGGCCCACCACGAGCGCATCACGGGGCTCTTTTGGGCCCAAAAGGGGATCAAGACGGGCCAAGAAGGCCCCAAGACTCCTCCAAGACGGCTCACGAGAGCTCCGAGGCGCCAAACGAGCGCTCCCAGACGCCCTAGATGCCCCCAAGACGAGCCTAGAGGCCTCCAAGACGGCCCAAGAGGCTTCCAAGAGCAGTCCTGAGAAGGGCCGAAGCGCCGAAAATCGTCAAATTCCTATGGGAAAACGTACATTTTGATCATATACTACCTGTCGGCCTTCACGGCGTTGAAGACGGTCCCAGAGCACCCCAAGACCGCCCCGAGAGGCCCCCAAGAGGCGCCCAAGTCGGCCCAAGAGGGCGCCAAGACGGCCCAGGAGGCCCCCAAGACAGCCCAAGAGGGCCCCAAGACAGCCCCAAAAGGTGCCCAAGAGGGGGAGCCCGAACCGACAATTCGAGCCTTCCGCCCCAAGACGGCCCCAGAAGGCCCCAAGAGGCCCCAAGAGGCCCCCAAGACGCCCACAAGAGGCCCCAAGAGGCCCCCAAGAGGCTACAAAACGGCCTCAAAACGGCCCCCAAGAAGCTTCGAAACTGCCTCCAAGAGTCCCGCGAGAAGCCCCCCAAGAGATCCCAGGGCCTCGAGATGACCCCAAGCGGATTCCACATGGCCCCAAGAG